ATTCAATACAAAGATGCACTGAAGCAGTTGGACATAAAAGCAAATTATTTCACGTTCTTACCGAAGCGCCAAATTTTAGAGGCAGCAAAAGTTATGTTGTAAATTTGTATCTAAAGAGCCTCTTCTAGGCCGCTTCCCCTTTTTCTTCTTTTAAAATTTTTATTCTATGAGAACGAAATGATTTATATTATAAACAATACATATTATTATACATGTAATTTTGATAATATGTTTGAAGATACCTATTTCATTAACGTTTTCTGGCGTTTAATGTATATATCAATATAATTTTAAGAATTAAAGATAAAACAGCGTAGAATAATGAATATGCATAACTAAAAAAATGTGATGAATTTATGTTATTTCTGTACATCAAAATATATGATTTAAAGCTTAATTGATTCACCACAGGAAAAAACTGAACACACACACAAATAATTAATCAAACCATATTTAATTTTAGTCATAAATAAGCGTGTCCAAATTTCTAGTATAAATTATACTTGTTATTATAGATAATTTTCCCCTGTTTTTGTTTTCAAAAAAAAAGTAGGAGGCAATTTTTCGCATGCCTAATTTCAAATATAAATTATACTTGTTATTATATATAATCCCCCCCCTCTGAGTTATTTGAAAATAGTAGGCGACAATTTTTCGCGTGCCTACAGACGACGAAGGTATTAATCCGCCTCTGGTTGTGTGGGTTTGGGTACCTACCTATGCAATTCCTGGCGCCTGCGCTGAAGGGGACGTATGCGAAGGGATGACGAGTTTGCACCCGCTCGGGCAGGAAGTTGTCCGGGTTGAACGTCTCCGGTTCTGGAAAGTACTTGTGGTTGCGGTGCACGTGGTAAATGTGCAGCATGACTTCTGAACCCTCCGGTAGACAGTACTCCCCTGAAGCAAATGCAAAATTAGATTCTTACGTGTTTCTTTCATTAGACTCTGAACGAGATTGAATCTTCCTAGAGAGAATGTTTACCGATTTCAATATCCTGGGTCACTTGGCGAGTTATAAATGGGACACTTGGGTACAACCGCAAAGACTCCTTGATAACTCGTTCCAGGTACTTCATTTCCGAAAGATCTTTCATAGTGGGTTTGCGATCAGAACCTTGAAAGATTTCCATTTGCTCTTCATACACCTTTTCCTGCAAGAGATGACGAATATGTATTGCGCTCGGTGTGAAGATTTTGCGTAACATCGTTAAGACAGAGGAGATCTGATATTGGAGTTTATTTTCAACACATTATTTATATATTTTCTTACCTGCACATCGGGATGAAGTGCCATCAGATAAAGTGTCCAACACATACTTGCAGAAGTTGTATCGTGACCCTAAAACATTAAAGTAAGTCAATAATTTGATGTTTTTGAGAGAGCTTTGTGAAAATGAAAGCATAAGAAAAGCTGAAAGAAAATTCAAAGAAAAAGAAAACGAGTAAAAGGGGGCTCGTGTACCTCGAACATGAAGGTGTCGACCTCCTCGCGGATGTCCTCGTCGCTGAGGACGGTGCCTCCTTTGGACGCCTCCAGCAGCAGGTCCAGGAAGGCCTTGCGCTTCTTCCTTCCTGAGGCAGAGAGGTGTTACTGGTTACTTTCCTAATTACGTATTCTAGGGAAGCAGGCAAGATAATGAACAAGACTCGCTGGGATTTCAGGCATTGTAAGAATATTGAAGAATTTTCATAAAATCTAACAAATTGTGATGACTAATTTTGTTCATAAAGTAATTTTATATTTTCTAATTATGTATTACAAAAGTTATTCTTGGGAAGGGAGCAAAATAATTAATAAGACTGCCTGGGATTTCAGGCATTGTAAGAACATCGAAGTATTTTCATAAATTCTAATTTCTAACTAATTCTAACAAATTGTGATGTTTAATGTCGTACATAAAGTAATTTTATATTTTCTAATTATGTATTATGAAAATTATTCTTGGAAAGGGAGCAAAATAATTAAAAAGACTGCCTGGGATTTCAGGCAGTGCAGAACATCGAAGAATTTCCATAAATTCAAATACATTATATTTTTTATTTAAAATGCTTACAGCATTATCAGTCGTAAGAATTATTTCGTGCTATGGTATGTGAGGTGCAAATAATTAAGTTTGAGCGTTTCTTACCAAAGACTTCTTCGGTTTCATTGCTGAATTCCTCGGAATTCTTCATAGCTTCCTTCCTTTCTTTAATTACCTTAAAAAATACACAAATTTGTTTACAGTGTTTGTGACATCGTAATATAATGGTAATATTAACGTTTTTATTCTAGTTACCTTTTTCGTGAAGTCGTGGAGGATTCTGAGATCATCTTTGAACTTTGCACCTTGCTCCGTAAGAGAATAGGTAAAATCTGAATGTAGCCATGGTTTGCCAATGCGCTGAATTATGAGCTCGGAAAGTCTGCAGGCAAATAAATTAGAGTGAGGCGCTTTGGTTAGAATACTATTTTTGAAATCTCAACTAAGCTTTGAGGAATCGCCAACTTTGTAAATAAGTTTTAGTAAGTGAAAGTAACAAAATAAACTCAAATAAAACGTAATGAAGTAAAAAGGAAATTATTTCCTAAAGAAACATTCACACGTTAAGTCTCCGATACGTGAAAAAAATGTTATCGATCTATTTAAAATTAAAGCAATGGGCTTATATTAAATAACATAAATTATTAAATGCTCATTTACTTACTCATAAACTGCTTTCACGTAAGGTGAATCAGTTTGATCTTGTGCATTCATTTCAGTGCCCATGGCAGTTTCTGTAAAAATATTAATATTTTACCATGCTGCCATTGTATATTCACATGACTTAAATACTACCTAGGTCAACGTAAAAAGTTTTGTATCTGTAAAAAATCTTTGATAACAGGACCAGACAAACAAGTCTTTGTTAACTTCATGAACGTCTGCGAAGACACGAGGACAGAACATCAAATAATGAAAAAAATGAGTAACCATGAGTCCATGAAATAATGTGCCAAAGCCAAGTTTAAGACAAGATGAAACAATCGCTTGATGTTAAAATAAATAAGTCGCTTGAGATAGGAAGAAATAACGGTATAATGTGTTATCTAGACTATCCGGGACGAGCCGCGTCACTGACATGGTAGCTAACGTTTCGGCCACAATACGCTGGCCGAAAGGTTAACCACCATGTCAGTGACGCGGCTCGTCTCGGGTAACCTAGATAACATAAACTCCGGCCGCGGAAGGCTACGCAACCAATAATGGTATAATGCTTGCCATGACAGATTGACGCGTTTAAAAGCTCTTGGAATTATATTTTTTGTATTCCAGCATTATAAAGTAACCTTTTCTGTTGCAAGAAATTGTTCATAATTGGGCATTTTACGGCACAAATGATGACGTATTAGATTTTATGTCACGAATAATTGCTTCAACACCACCATTCAGCCAATCGTAGCGAGAGAATCGGGCGGAGGTACAGTTAAACAGAACAGCCGAACATCGTTTACTCACACGATGTCAAATGCCCGAGTCGTCACAGGGAAGTTGTTTTGCAAAATGAAGTTTGAATCTCTTATAAATGTATAATACTGTAATACAAAAAATATAGTATGCAACTCGTTTATAGTGTTGCTTTATTACTTTGTACAAATTTGAAAACTCGCCTCAAAAGTCGCTCGTTTTGAAAACATGTACTCATGCAATAAAGCTTACCATTATAAACTAATTGCATAAACTACTATTATGCTGCAGTGCGTATTATCGCATCACTTCCTCTCAAGATTCTTATTTACGACTCTTTGACCAGCAGTGAGTTGCCCTATCTTTACTTTGCGCTCTCAGTATTGAGCCTGAAGCGTGTGAGTGCCGACGAGTGATGTAGAGAGCGTACCGCAAATGATGTCCAGGGCGCATCGCGTGATGTACGGGTAGACATCGAAGCCTTTGCTGTTGCCCACCTCCTTCTCCAGCCTGCTCACAAGAATCTCGCTCTTGTCGGCGAACACCTCCACAAAGGAGACTAGGATGTTGAAGTGGAACGCCGGAGTAATCAGCTTGCGGTGGCTGTGCCACTTGGCGCCTGCGACAGAGGGAGAACACTTTGCAACATCACACATCCTTCTTTTTGTTGGTTTATTGTTGATATTATTAGTATTATATGATTTAGTATTATAGTACTATAGTATTTAGTACTATAATTTATAGTATGATAAGTTATTTAGTAATATAGTTAGTATTATAGTATTGTTAGTTCTTATTGTTAGTAGGTAATACTATGAGCAACACTAAGCTGTAAAAAAAAATAATTTGAATAAAACTATATTACATGACGGAATTTTGATGATACTTAATTTTTTTTCGCATATAGGCCAACTCGGACCGCGGGTGCATCCAGCTTCTGCAAGTGCAAGTACCTTTATCTGAGGGGGTGATTAGCATTTCAGCTGAATCCCGATTTCCCCCCCAAGGTTGTTAGCCCTGGGGGTATGGATGATGGTAGTGAAGGATGAAAGTATATAGACATACCCAAATACACCCATGCTCAAGGCGGGATTCGAACCTGCGGTCTTCTGGTCACTTTAGCGCTTGTAAGGGATTGTCGAAAATGTGAAAAGTATTTTGGCCAAGCCTTACCTGAGCTTGTGAGAAGCCCTGTTCCCAACCAGGGTTTCAGGAAGGAATAAATATTACCCTTCTGGAGATTCACGGTGCTTCTCAATACGATCTGAGGAAAGTTAGAAATGCCGATTACTTTTCGTTGCTTTCGAGAGCTTTCACAAAAATAACAAACACCACATATCGCACCTCCAATTGAAAAGTTCTTCTGATTTCTCAGAAATTGCAATTTTAAGTTTCGTAGTCCTGTAATACTCGTTATAGATTTACCAAATATTCACCTTCTAGCGGACAATAATTGAACTAATTCAAGACAAACTTCAGAATAGTAGCAGTACCTCTTGGTAACCTCTCATCAGCTTTTAGCTGAAAAATGACGATTTAGCACTTGTGTCACTTTTCTATTGGAGGTGCGATATAGAACAGTCAAATGGTAGCACTTTTATTATACATCAAGCACATTTCTTAGCATTGTTTTAGACCCGGCCTGCTCAAAACTGTGGCCGTAGGATCATGGCTCAGGGTAGTTACGTGCTCTTGAGTTTTCTCTGTTCTAGGTTCGTAGAGGAAACCGCCACCTTTTGTCCAAAGTAACGAACGTGCCTGAAACTACTCAGTCTTCCATACCATGAATACATACTACTTCTCTCTTATTCTCGAATTAATAAATGTCAGATTACCAACGCGAGAGAATTAATGTTGCTAGTAATTAAAACCTTCCTGCCTTTTCTGCCACATTCGTTTGGAGGATTTTCTGTACAAACTCTTTCATGGAGAGTACTGTGACGTAGTGAAATGAGAATAAATTCAAATAACAAAAATGAAAAGATATAAAAATATATTGAAAAGTTACAGACTAGTTACAATAAATTGCTAAATTTAAACACTCCGGCAACCTTTTCCTTCCAGTACCCTGCTTTACCGGACAGAAAAAAAGCACGCGTGCATCAGCTGCGGACTTCCGTCCCGTGACAATTACCCCGCACATGGCCTGAGGCCAAAATTTAAACCGCGCCGTCTGGCGGCCGGTGCTAAAGCACTGAGATCGTCTTGGCCCTTAACACTTCGACATCTCGCCACCACTCCTCGTCCTTGTACGCTACGCGCTACTACGCCTCTGCGATGTTAACTGAATTGAGAACGCGGCGCGAAGATGGCGCCGCGTTTAAATTAGTTGGGCCTACAATCCCCACCAACACATAGTTTTCCCTAGGTAGGCTCTCGCCTTGCTGTCGGTAAGCGAGGCTCGCTGGCCAAGCCATCTTAGGAGGGCTACACCCCACCACTCAAGAACCCCAGTTAGGCTCCGCCTGCTGTCGACAAGCAAGGCTCGCTGCTAGGCTTCCTAGGAGTTTACACAACCAAGGTTGTAATTTTGGCTCTGACACGCTGTCTGCGTCAACTGCCAGAGCGTAAAATCCCGGAAATTCAGGCTCAACCCCTTCCTCCCCCGCAGCGCACTTTCACCGACATAACGGTCTGGCCCTCGTGTTAACGACGCCACAGTACCCTCTTGATTTGACATTGCCCCGGACATTTTCCGGCTCATGATCGTGGTACAGGCCTGGCTTCGACTACAGTGCCTGATGGCATGGTCTTAAGAACAATGTACTAGAATTGTTGATCCAAGTCGAAATTCCCGAAAGCGCGGGATGGGCCTACCTCGATGTGTTCGGCATCACACAGGTGGACTACTCCGTAGGAGCCATTCCACGTACGGTAGATGGGGCTGTATTGCCTCGTTATCTTGTCATGAAAGGCGAAGATCTCTGTGAACATTATTATTATTATTATTATTATTATTATTATTATTATTACTATTATTATTATCATAATCATCATGCACCTTACAAAAAAGTCAAAGGTGATTGGGCATTATAAACTACAAGCATCTATTTATTGGAATACTATTTTCATCTTTGAAAAAGAAAGGTTTAATATAAAAGAATGAAAATGCCACCATTTTAAACAATGCATTCTTAACTTGTGTTATTAGGATAATTGAATCAGAAGATTTCAGAAACCCGTCAAACGCCAAGTTCATCATTTCGAGAAAACTGACAATAAGTCTCCCAATTTTTGAAATTTCAAAATAGCTATTTTTATTAAAAGAGTTGATAAATTAATATTTTTTAAATATAAATATGCACTATATGATGTGTCTAACCTCCTTGTCGCTAAAGCGTGTTTTAGATTTTAGCGTTTGACGGGTTTCTGAAGTAATTTGTTTAAATCCATATAACGATAATTTTGTATTATTACAAACTTACAATCCATGGGTAACTAAATCGAGTGATATGCACACATTCAGACATACTTTGGTGAGAATGTAGCTCTGATTATTCACCGACAACTCTCTAAAAACCCGTCATTTTTAAGAATAAGAGCCTACATTACAGACGACGTCGGTACAGTTTCAGCCCTCCTCGCTCGCGAATGTCGAGTTGTCTTCCGCAGTGCGCGCGTCGGGGTCGTACCTCTGCGCTTGAGGCCCAGCACGCGGTACGTGGTGCCGAGTAGCGGCAGAGCTAGGCAACCGGGCATGCGTTGCAGGGCGGTCCGCACGCGGCGGCGCTGGCTATATGCGGCGCCCGGCCGCAGCCACAGCCACAGCCACAGCCCGAGGCACCCGGCCAGCGCCAGCCCCGCCCACGCCGCCTCCGACACCGCCACGACCATGCTGCTCCTGCACACACACACACACACACGGAAAGGTCAGACTCACGCACCGGATGGGGTGGCTCAGGGCATCAAGTGGTGGCACTGCGGTGTCAACGGCCTGGAGGACCCACGGTGCGAGTTCCTGCGGCGGCAGGATTTTCGACACTAGCTACATATATTAATAACTCCAACTCCAACTCCAGCTCCAGCTCCAGCTCCAACTCCAACTCCAACTCCAACTCCAACTCCAACTCCA